GTGGGGGGGTGTTAAACCCACCTCATTAGGGGGGGTATAACTGAGTAGTCACTATTGATGCCATTCTGCCGAGCCTGGCGTAACCGGTGCCAGTGGCGGCACTGAGCTTGTGTTCACTACGCACTTCACAGAAAACAAACACGATGATAATTACTGGTTTCCTGGTACATAAAATTACGGGCTCACCATAGCCCGTGCTACTTGGAACTTTTTGTCCAGGCAGCGAATCTTTAACAACAACAGCCTGGTCCATCAAGACCTAAACATTCTGCACGTTACCCAGCATTATATATATATATATATATATATATATATATATATATATATATATATATATATATATACTATATATGTATATAGCCCTGTACTCTTCTGTATATATATATACATAGGAGTACTGTGTCAATGTACTGTGTACTCACCTACTAGGTGAGTACAGCTAGATGAGTGTGGTAAGAATTACGTGAAATACTTTTTTTTTTTTTTTTATTAACATATTAGGTACATCTGCATTAGTGCAGCTACCCTAGACTATATGAAGTGGAGTACAGTGTGTCAAAAAAGCTAACTAGGTGATGCTAAGAAATCCCCATCACACAGGATGGCTAGTCATACAGAGGCACGCGATAAGCAGTCTGCACTGGCAGACTCCGCATGCATTTTGAGGATATCAACACCACAAGATTGAATAAGGTAGCAGTGGTAATACAAGTCCCCATCTCGCAGGATGGTTAGTCATACAGAGCCATGTGTTTAATAGCCTGCACTGGCAAATTTTGGGTATACTGAGAGGATATCTTCAAGAATACGAGAGTGAATAAAGTAATTGCAAAGCTCCAGGTACCACATGCCAACTGGTCTGAAAGGCCTGCACGTCACGTTCACAATATAAAAACTCTAGGGAGTCCGCCACCCACATTTCACCAATTAGGTGTCGGTAGACCTATCCAATTTCCTCTTAATAGGATAAGCCGATAAGCCTACGCTCGTTCCGTAACCCAGACCAGTCACACTGCAAAGTTGGGTGTGACTAGCCTTAAGGTCATTGTATGAGGCTATTGTATGCAAGTTAGGCTATTGTATGGGCTATTGTATGCAAGTTATGTCATTGTATGGGCTATTGTATGCAAGTTAGGATATTGTATGGGCTATTGTATGCAAGTTATGTTATTGTATGGGCTATTGTAAGCAAGTTAGATTATTGTATGGGCTATTGTATGGAAGTCAGGTCATTGTATGGGCTATTGTATGTAAGTCAGGTCATTGTATAGGCTATTGTATGCAAGTTAGGTTATTGTATGAGCTATTGTATGCAAGTTAGGTCATTGTATGGGCTATTGCAAGTCAGGTCATTGTATGGGCTTTTGTAAGCAAGTTAGATTATTGTATGGGCTATTGTATGCAAGTTAGGTTATTGTATGGGCTACTGTATGCAAGCCAGGTCATTGTATGGGCTATTGTATGCAAGTTAGGTCATTGTATGAGCTATTGTATGCAAGTTAGGTCATTGTATGGGCTATTGTATGTAAGTTAGGACATTGTATGTAAGTCAGGTCATTGTATGGGCTATTGTATGCAAGTTAGGTTATTGCATGGGCTATTGCAAGTCAGGTCATTGTATGGGCTTTTGTATGCAAGTTAGGTCATTGTATGGGCTATTGTATGTAAGTTAGGTCATTGTATGGGCTATGGTATGTAAGTCAGGTCATTTTATGGGCTATTGTATGTAAGTTAGGTTATTGTATGGGCTATTGTATGTAAGTCAGGTCATTGTATGGGCTATTGTATGCAAGTCAGGTCATTGCATGGGCTATTGCAAGTCAGGTCATTGTATGGGCTTTTGTATGCAAGTTAGGTTATTGTATGGGCTACTGTATGCGCCAGGTCATAGTATGGGCTATTGTATGCAAGTCAGGTCATTGTATGGGCTACTGTATGCTCCAGGTCGTTCAGTACAACGTGTGAGAGACAAAGAATATTTGTCATCACTATTCGTACCCAAGTCTCAGTCCAGCAAGAATGACCTGTTCTTTAATTTTGAAGCTGAAAGACCTCATTATTCTTCCTGTTATTGGAACCAGTAATATTATCATAGTGGGCTTCTCGTCCAACTTCGTGTGGAGTGGTTTTGGCAAGGTCATGCCTGTGGTGGTCTGATGTTCTTCATTCCTACATGGGAGAGTGTATTGGGCCCATTTGGGGGGGGGGAGGATAAGGTCTCACTTCATGCAGGTCGGAGTTCAATCCTCGACCGTCCATAGGTGGTTGGTCACCATTCCTTTCCCCAGTCCCATCGCAAATCCTTATCCTGACCCCTTCCCAGTGCCATGTTGCCGTAATGGCTTGGCGCTTCCCCCCCCCCCCTGATAATTAATTAAAAATCAGTGTTTTAACCTCAAAAGAGTGATTTTGAGTCCTTGTCTATGTTAATAAGGACAATCAACGCAACTAACAACAATCAACGCAACTAACAACAATCACCACAAGTGTCGACAATGAACACAACTGACAACAATCAACACAACTAACAACAATCACCACAAGTGTCGACAATCAACACAACTGACAACAATCAACACAACTGACAACAATCAACACAACTGACAACAATCAACACAACTAACAACAATCAACACAACTAACAACAATCAACACAACTAACAACAATCACCACAAGTGTCGACAATCAACACAACTGACAACAATCAACACAACTAACAACAATCAACACAACAACAATCAACACAACTACAACAATCAACACAACTAACAATCAACACACTTAACAATCAACACAACAACAATCACCACAACTAACAACAATCAACACGTCACCGTGATTGTCAAGCGACAGACAAACATCTTAGCATTAAGTAAGATAATTTACCACAGTCACGAACCTAATGTCTCCATCTGGCGTCGGATTAATACACACAAAAAAGTCTCTCTGTATATCATACACGAAGCACATTAAACTGTATTTCTCTAACCTATCATTCGAAAACTGGATTTTGGGATGATCATTCTCTCCCTCGACGCAAAGACGCAGAATACACCTAAGGCCATTGCACAATAGCTTGCATTGAGAAAAAGCAAGTACCCGGCTGGCCCACTTGCGCCAGTGGTTACTTCAGCAAATCAATATATCTAATTCGGATTCTGGAATACCTGAACACGACATGAGGACACGCGAGCGGGTCTTGCGACTTGTTTTAATTGTGTTCTTGAGGTTGGGAGGCTCTTTGCAACGTCTCCTGAGGTTGGGGGGCTTCTTGCAATGTCTCCTGAGGAGGTTGGGAGGCTCCTTGCAACGTCTCCTGAGGTTGGGGGGCTTCTTGCAACGTCTCCTGAGGTTGGGGGGCTTCTTGCAATGTCTCCTGAGGTTGGGGGGCTTCTTGCAATGTCTTCTGAGGTTGGGGGGCTTCTTTGCAATGTCTCCTGAGAGGTTGGGGGGCTCCTTGCAATGTCTTCTGAGGTTGGGGGGCTCTTTGCAATGTCTTCTGAGGTTGGGGGGCTTCTTGCAATGTCTCCTGAGGAGGTTGGGGGGCTCCTTGCAATGTCTTCTGAGGTTGGGGGGCTCTTTGCAACGTCTCCTGAGGTTGGGGGGCTCCTTGCAACGTCTCCTGAGGTTGGGGGGCTCCTTGCAACGTCTCCTGAGGTTGGGGGGCTCCTTGTAACGTCTCCTGAGGTTGGGGGGCTCCTTGTAACGTCTCCTGAGGTTGGGGGGCTCCTTGCAACGTCTCCTGAGGTTGGGGGGCTCCTTGCAACGTCTCCTGAGGTTGGGGGCTCCTTGCAACGTCTCCTGAGGTTGGGGGGCTCTTGTAACGTCTCCTGAGGTTGGGGGGCTCCTTGCAACGTCTCCTGAGGTTGGGGGGCTCCTTGCAACGTCTCCTGAGGTTGGGGGGCTCCTTGTAACGTCTCCTGAGGTTGGGGGGCTCCTGGCAACGTCTCCTGAGGTTGGGGGGCTCCTTGCAACGTCTCCTGAGGTTGGGGGGCTCCTTGTAACGTCTCCTGAGGTTGGGGGGCTCCTTGTAACGTCTCCTGAGGTTGGGGGGCTCCTTGTAACGTCTCCTGAGGTTGGGGGGCTCCTTGCAACGTCTTCTGAGGAGGTTGGGGGCCTCCTTGCAACGTCTTCTGAGGTTGGGGGGCTCCTTGCAACGTCTCCTGAGGTTGGGGGGCTCCTTGCAACGTCTTCTGAGGAGGTTGGGGGCCTCCTTGCAACGTCTCCTGAGGTTGGGGGGCTCCTTGCAACGCCTCCTGAGGTTGGGGGGCTCCTTGCAACGTCTTCTGAGGAGGTTGGGGGCCTCCTTGCAACGTCTTCTGAGGTTGGGGGGCTCCTTGCAACGTCTCCTGAGGTTGGGGGGCTCCTTGCAACGCCTCCTCAGAAAGTTGGGCCCCTTGCAACACCTCCTGAGGAGGTTGGGCCCCTTGCAACGCCTCCTGAGAAGGTTGGGCCCCCTTGCAACGCCTCCTGAGAAGGCTGGGCCCCTTGCAACACCTGCATCCAAAAACGTCGACTTTCCATTATGTTGACACGCACATCCTGTTGCTTTTGTTATTCCTGGAAGCGTGAGTATTTTGTGTGTGCGAGCGTGCGCGCCTACAAGGTCGAGCACTAGCTCTCGGCCCCCAGCCTTCCTTTCTCGCCTTTGGTTACATAATGCAATGAGACTTTACCTCCTTTATCTACTTTTAAAATTATTAATATAATTTGCTTCTGCAATTTGCTCCTTTAATTTATTCAATTTTCTCGTTACTTTTACGCTAAAAGAAATCTTTCTAACATCTGTATGACTGTAGTAGCCGGTGGCTGAGCGGACAGAACACTGGACGCGTGATCTTGTGGTCCCGGGTTCGATCCCGGGCGCCGTCGAGAAACAATGGGCAGAGTTTCTTTCACCCTGATGTGCTTGTTACCTAGCAGTAAATAGGTACCTGGGAGTTAGTCAGCTGTCACGGGTTGCTTCCTGGGTGTGGAGGACTGGTCGAGGACCGGGCCG